CCCCCAAGTGACTGTGGTTTCAGTCTACCGACCAAGTTTTGATTTTGGTTTGATAACTTTTCATTCGTTTTTGTAATAAGATTTTCATTCTGTCATTTCATTTTGTCGTAGGACTAATTAAGAAAAAAAACTTGTACTCATTGTGTAAATTTTGTTAATTATTATTATTTCCATATTTTCCGATAATTCAGTAGGAGTTTTTTTAATTAAGTGGATAAATACTTTTCTATTTGCAGGCGTGGCCCTTGACGGGTTTGCCATCTACGGTAATATTGACGAGATGGGAAATGTCTTGACATCCGTCGACCTCGATGAGTGTCACGGTCGAATAAACAGCGAGGGGGTATACCAGTATCACGTGACCGATGACTACCCCTATATTATGGGATGTCTGAAAGGCACTTCTCTCTCTTCAAGCGGTATGGATAGTTCAAGCAATTGTTATCTCGCCTTGAACGTGAAGATGGCTAACTTCACATCAGTGTGGTCACAGTTTTCCTCCACGCAGGTTGGAATTTCTACACAATTTGAATGGTCTACCGGTGTATATGGCCAGGTATGATTTTGTGAAGTGTTTAGATACATATTTGGATATTTTTCTGAGAAGAACAATTCATTTTCTAATTTACTGTTGTGTTAGTTCGATCGTAAGAGATGTGTGGATTTTATTTTCTAGTTTTTCTGATTGTTAATTTTCAGTAACGTTTTACGCACAATTGTTTATATTATGTTATGAATTTGTTTCAGTGTTCTGTGTCATGTGGTACAGGTACAAGGTCACGTGACGTGAGGTGCACAAACTTGGAAACTGGCAACGAAGTGGAAGCCAACTATTGTGGTATTTGGAAATTTCCAGATTCGGTGGAAATCTGTGTTTTATCCAATGCGTGCCCAACAACTACAAACACATACACGTACAGTGTTGGGGCATGGAGTTTGGTAATTATTTTGTCATCCTCATACTGTACTAGTTCGTTGATCGGTGGCCATTGCGGGCGCTATAATATCAGTGAGTGCAATAGCGCCACCGCGGCTCATTTGACTACCGAATACTCGTAACGGCAAATGGCGCTAACACAATAACCAATTTCGCGTTTGTTAAACTGTGCTATGCACTGGACGACCTAACTTGTAATTGAATATTGAACACGCGTGTATCAGTTTGACCAATCGATATTCTGTAATTAACCGTGCTTGACAATTGTCGAAAACGTCAACATAGGTCTATGTTTGGTCGTTGAAATCAGAAGTGACTTAACATTCCTGATTTGCTGTGCATGTCATTTGTTTTTAGTGTACTGCGACTTGTGGCAACGCCATGAGATACCGATCAGTGACTTGCCTCGATACCAACAACGTAGCAGTGAGCTACGACTCGTGTACCTCTGCTGGTCTTGTCACACCAACCACATCAGAGCCCTGTGTTCTATCAGAATGTCCGACATCCACTTATTCCTACTTTTCAACCAGCTTTGGACAGGTAAGTGAAGGTAAAAATTCTATGTGACGAAGCGCAAGGTGAGGGAGGGGGGGGGGTCTTAAATTGACATATACCGGTGTAACAAATACACGTTTAGTTGAATGTATTCCGAGTATTACTACTCCTTGTAACTTGTATATTCTTTAATCTTTTTAACTTTTGTACGGTCAAAAGTTCTAACAGTTTGACCTCTCTTTCCTTGTGCAGTGTTCGGTATCTTGTGGTACCGGTGTTCGAACCCGTCTCGTGCTGTGCTACGACTCGTCTACTCGAACACAAGTCGATGTCTCGAACTGCGTGAATAGTGGACTCGGCGAGAGGGCTGTGACAGAAGTCTGCGTTCTGCAGGATTGCGTCACAGTCGCCTATAGTTACGTCACTGGGTCTTGGAGTACTGTAAGTCAATATCCCCAATTTTCTCATCCGTTATAAACTGAAGGATTTATCCTCCCTTGCGATAATGGCTATATGAATACACCAAACTATTTTGTGCAAATGTAATTGGTCGATGGATAACATGACGGAATTTTAATTTGTATACGCAATCAGAAATTATGTTATTCTTTACCTGGCGTCACGAATGAGACACATATTGTTTTTTTATTAAAATATTTAATAAATAACATCATATAGAGCAGCATCATTCAATTTCACACCAGTCTTTCTAAAACCCCGGAAATTATAAGATACCAATAATTATTTGTCAGTGTCTTGCTACTTGTGGAACTACCGTGACAAGATCGAGAACCGCGCAGTGTACTAGTGCGACTGGTAACTCTGTCGACGACAGTCTGTGTCAAAACTCAAGTGTAGTGAAACCCGAAACTATTCAGTCATGTGGACTGTCGGCTTGTCCATCCGTGGCGTATACGTATAATGTCAATCAATGGGGATCGGTGAGTACGGTTTCCATGGTAAAATAAATGCTCGTGTGCCTGTTATCATACACATATAAAACTGCTTATATCTTCCACCATGACAAAGCAGGAGTATTTTTGCATCCTAGTTTCGCTACCCCTGGGAAAGTGGTCTTTAAATTGCGCGAGCATTCTCGCACGGAACCAACTGATGGCGCTATAACTCGAAACTGGTCTATTATAGCTACACACACCTAATGGTGTAAATTAATCAGTGTAACATGTTCGTTATTTCAGTGCTCTGCAAGTTGCGGTTCATCAATTAGATCCAGGTCAGTGACATGTACATCTTCATCCGGTTTCATCGTAGATAACAGTCTATGTGCCGGTATTGAACTGCCGGCTTCAGTCGAAACGTGTAACGTACCTGAGTGTTTGCAGTACTCTGCGGGTGCATGGGGTGACGTAAGTAAATTGATTATTATATCATTATATATATAATTTAGATAGAACGGACAGACCTGTAATGTGTCGTGTGATAGTCTGTCTGAGTAAGTTATCAAACCGCAATTTTGTTCATCCTCGTTCGTTGTAAATCTTCATGCTAATTTAGACATTGATTCAATCACAACATGGTTTGAATATTCGTTTATTGAGATAGTTATATCATGAAGTTATTAATTCCACAACGTGAAAAACTTGAATCACACCGAATTATCTCACGTCTTGCAGTGCTCGGTTACCTGTGGAAGTTCCTACCGAACGAGGACGGTTTCGTGTATCTCTACCTCGGGGGTAACCGTGAACCTTAACCAATGTGCGTCACTGGGAATTACTATGCCAGTCGGTTTGGAAGTGTGCAGTGTTCCATCCTGCGTTATTTATGTGTACACAACGGGTATCTGGGAACAGGTGAATAAAATCATGTGAAACTGTACAGTTAAACCACTTTAAATACGGCGCGGTGCTTCGGGCGATTTTAGGTCTTCATTCACACAGATATATGGGACATTTTTGGCTTTAATCTCCACATACTCGTATAGATATCGCATATTTATACATAAATTACTCATTTAGTTGTTGTGGTTTGTTTTCAGTGTTCGGCAACATGTGGAACATCCATCAGAATACGATCTGTGACTTGCGTTGAGTCGGCTAGCCAGGACGTGGTTAACGATGCATTCTGCGCTTCTAGGAGCCTGACCAAACCAAACACACAAGAAACGTGTAGCGTTCCCGTCTGTGTGCAAAGCTATTTTTTCGACACAACTTCCTGGGGAACGGTAACTATTTTTGTACTCGTGCAATGTTAGTATATCTCGGGCAAATAAACGCAATTTGTGAAATACATAAGAACTAACTATGCTTTATAAAATCTATCATATCCAGTGTACAGCAACATGTGGTACCTCCTACCGATTTCGCACGGTCACCTGCGTCGCGTCCACCAACGGTTTCACTGTTGCAGATGACTTGTGTCTAGGGAATGGTCTTCAGAAACCTACAACGACGGAAGAATGCTTCACACCGCCTTGTGTTGAGTATATCGTGGGAGAATGGACAGACGTAAGTCATTGCCATTAGCGTTTACTCTCTAACACGTGTGATAACTACTCCAAGACAGTAACTTTCATTTCAATCGTATTCTGTTAATACAATACTGCTCGGATGTTGATTTTTTCATTCCATGTTGTATAATCCCTTACAGTGTTTCACAACCTGTGGCACAGCATTCCGTACGAGGACACTAACATGTGTGACTGTCGGGACGACCATTGCGTTAGCACAGTCACAGTGCCAGTCAGCTGGTCTCGAGTACCCTTCCACTGTTGAATCTTGTTCATTGCCCGCCTGTTATTCTTATTACACTGGGGCGTGGGGAGAGGTAAGTAGAATTGGCGACCTACCTGTAAAATGGTATTAAACCGTAACGTATATAATACACTTCTCAAAGGCTAACGCTGATAGGTCGAAAAATAGAATGTTGGGTTAGAATCGGTAACGATCTTGTAAGCAACTTCGCATCGACTAAAAAAACGTGGGAAACTTTTTCCGGGTACATTTTCGTAAAATGGCGGCACATGTTCACTTCAGCGTTAAAATTGTTACTTTACGATTACTTGATCCGTTTTTCAGTGTTCTGCCACATGTGGTTCTGCAATCCGAACAAGAAGTGTGTATTGTGCTGCAAGTGGAAGCACTAGCCAAGTTGACACGAACAACTGTATTGGCGCCGGACTTGAAGTTCCCACAGCAACTGACATTTGTGTCGTACCTGCATGTCAAGTGTATGCCTTTACTGTCGGCGAATGGAGTTCCGTAAGTAGAAATCGTTTACACGTGTGCAACTGCACACCATCTTTCGACGCCGACATCACAATATCAAAACATTACTTAAATTAACTCGTGAGGTGAACTACAACCCCATTAGTTTTTATGCTGATATATTCAAACCAGAAGGTTTGAATTAAAGAAAGGTGTACATTCTACACGCGTGAACTGAATCTGATTGGTTCAGCTCACACACGTGAATCGTTGAACAGTATCCAATCAATATCGTCATTACACATTGCGGTCGATGGTTGTCGTTTGCTAGACTTAACTGTCATTTGAATTTATAATTATTTACTTGAAAACAAAACATAAGGGTTTGTTTTATCAAAAACAAATAATGCAAATGCTAACATTTTAGTAAATATTTTCTTTGATAACCTGGATGTAATTATTTATTCGTATTCTCTCCTTTCTGTAGTGTTCTTCTACTTGCGGAAGCTCTTATCGCACAAGAAGTGTGACGTGTGTCGATCAATCCAGTGATGTCACTGTGTCAGATTCGTTGTGTTCCACCCTCGGCGTGTCCAAACCATCGACGCAAGAAGATTGCGCTGTCCAACAATGCACCACGTTCATCTTTACTGTGGGCGACTGGGGAGAGGTACAGTAATTTCACACACTTCGTACATCGTTTTACTATATGTGTTATGTATTCGTAATCATATACTGCGGTAATTCTGGAAAAACAGTTTCTAAAGAAAATTTTTCATTTTTTCCAGTGTTCCGCATCATGTGATCAAGCATACAGGATCCGATCAGTGAGCTGCATCGTGGTCGGTACTAATACAACTGTTTTAACGTCGGAATGTACAAATGCCGGTCTACAGCAGCCGACCTTTTTCGAAATGTGCGATGTCCCTGCATGTTCTTTTATCTACTACGTCGGCGTATGGAGCGAGGTATGTATCATAAAGTTTCAAAATTGTGTATTGTAAGAAATGTGGAAGCAAACACAAGATTGCACACAAACGTGAATGAATTAAATTCTGAGACTCGTATTTTTTTTCCGTTTCAGTGTTCTGCTACATGTGGTTCTTCGTTCCGAAACAGAGATGTGTATTGTACACACTCGGGTACTACCGAGAACGTTGCCGACAGCGTCTGTCAAAATCTTGGTCAAACTCTCCCATCGAGCATCGAGGAGTGCGTTGTCCCACAATGCCTCAGTTACGCGTTTACATCTACTGACTGGAGCGAGGTAAGTTTCGTCTTAAGGCAGTTTGAAAACTAAAAAAAAAGTGTGTGAATAAACCAATGCACGAAATGTTCACCGTATATGCCATTTATATCAGATGGGCAAGGTTCCTTTGCGAAAATAACCGGGTCTATATACGTGTCTTTTTTTTCAGTGTTCTGCCTCTTGTGGTGAATCAGTTCGCGCGAGGATTGTCACATGTGTGGAACAGAGTAGTGGCGCTGTTGTATCAGATGACGTGTGTACCGGGCAAGGACAGACAAAGCCATCAACTCAGGAAGATTGTTCTGTTCCACAGTGTGTAGAATTCACGACCGGAATCTGGGGACAGGTAAACTAATGTACAGTTTTATATAACTACTCGACGTCACCGTCACGAGTTTGATATTATATTTTATTTATTATTTGATTTAAAATTGACACTTTTTTTTTATTTTACTGTTTGCAGTGTTCCACAACGTGCGGCTCGTCGTATCGCGTGAGAGATGTCACGTGTGTAGGTGAAGACAACACTGAGGTCGCTCTCGATCTCTGTTTGACCGCCGGGTTAACTACGCCCTCTACAGTGGAGACATGTTCTGTGGGCGATTGTGTTACGTTTTATACCGGTCCTTGGGGCGACGTAAGTAACATTTGTTTTTAAGAGTGATCAGCATTTTTTTTCGGAGTGGACGAATGGTGGTGTCTGAAAGTTGTGAACATAATTCTATGTGACGTATACTTCTCGTTACAGTGCTCGGTTACTTGTGGTTCGGCATACCGATTGAGGGACGTCTACTGCAATGCTGTTGGTTCCAATGGTCATGTGACTGACAATGAGTGCATTAACGCCGGTCTTAGCAAACCATCTGTGATAGAGATATGCCTTGACAACCCACCATGTCTCAACTACACTTACTTAACTACTGAATGGAGCACAGTAAGTCGATTTTTTTTTTCTGCTGAAACCGCATCAAATCAGTCGATTCACGGGTCACGCCCTCTATAGATGAAAATATTCCGTGACGTAATAATGGTGTATATTGATGAATGGCGTTCTAAGCTTCGATTGCTTAGTCTGTTGCTCAAATAACAAAATAACATAGCAAAACTGCATTCTTTTCAATTTTACAGTATATACACGATGTGTTATCTATCGACACCATGAACCAATTCTGATTTTGTTCTCGTAAATATTTATCAAAATCAGAATTCAAATTGAAACGAGGGGTTACTGTTGACAGATAGAATAACGAAACATTTTCATCCGCAATTAACTCTTATAAATATTTATAAAAGTCAAGGGAATGGGTTTATGGTGTCTATAGTATTAGCCCTTTAAACACTTTTTCTGTAATTTTTCAAAGTATAAATGCAATTTTATTGCAGTGCTCGGCAACGTGTGGAAGATCAGTTCGTATAAGAACAGTTACTTGTGTAGTACAGAACAGCAGTGTCTCTGTGTCAGACTCGTTCTGCACTGGTATTGGTCTCGTTCAACCGCCATCTCAGGAGGAGTGTACAGTACAGGAATGTTTTGCTTACCAAATTGGTAACTGGGGGGATGTAAGTACAAAGCTTTGTCCATTTCAAAATTTCCCACCAAAATTATGATACAATGTTTTGCACATTTGTGTGTTTTCAATTTTGTCAAAATTACTAATAATATTAATCGAATTCGTTGTCCAGTACTTTCATGATCCGCGCATAGCATTTATTTTTCAAACTTTATATTTGTTGATCTACGATCTCTTGAATCATATTTCTTGCACACATAACTATTTTCTCCTCTCTTAACAGTGTACAGCGACGTGTGGAATATCGTACCGCACACGAACAGTTGAATGCATCGTTGAGGGAACCGACACACAACTTGCCAATGCGATCTGCGTAAACTACGGGCTGCAACCCCCTAGCACCGTGGAGATGTGCACCGTTACTCAATGTTACGCGTATTTCACCGGCACATGGGGAGAGGTACGTAATATTTTAATAAACAAAATATTTTCTGATACAAAAAAAAATACACAAACACATGTAGGCGTACATATTTACATAATGATTATATATTATTGATATCACAGTTTCTTTATCTTCCAGTGTTCAGCTACATGTGGTTCTGCCATTAGAACGAGAGATGTCTATTGTACTTCTGATGGGACGTCAAACGATGTGGATATTAGCAACTGCGTCGAAATAGGGTTAAACGTTCCATCAAGTGTTGAGGATTGCAATCTACAATCGTGTGATGTCTATGCCTTTGTAACTACTGGCTGGAGCGAGGTTAGTGTCCTATGACAGCTATGATTAATTGTTATAGAAATCGAACTGTTCACCGCAAATATTATTTAAAATGGCAGTGAAGAATCACCTTTTCAACCTAATTTGCCTAACTATTTGTTTAAATATTGCTTGCTAAATTGACTTAAAATTCGATCGCCTTCCAGTGTTCTGCTACATGTGGTACAGCTATTCGTGTACGAAGTGTAACCTGCGTTGAACAAGGCAGTGGCAGCACTGTGGCGGACACCTTCTGTACAGAGCAAGGTTTATCCGCTCCACAGTCACAAGAAAACTGTACAGTGCAAGATTGTGTTCAATACCTAATCGGAAGTTGGGGAGAGGTACTTATGAACAATTACTATACCTCGTGTTCAAGATCGTCACGTGGATTGAGCGTCTTCTTTATACGCCAATGTTTATGTTTATTTATTCGATATAATAAAACTCATTGTCGGCCAATATCAGTTATAATGACCCTCAGAGGAATTATTGGCTTCGCCTTTCTTATAATTATAATAAATTATAATTTAATATTGTCCTTTACTTCTGAACTATTTATTGGTTTCTGGTCATCATAGAACACGTTTGACATTTATTCAATCCTCATCTATGCATTTTCGTTATATCTTGCAGTGTTCAGCTTCCTGTGGCTTTTCTTACCGTATTCGTTCTGTTACATGCGTCATCGAGGGAACTAGTAACTTGGTTAACGCCAATCTGTGTTCCAACCCTGACGAGTCATCACCTGTTACTGTTGAGATATGCAACGTACCCACGTGTTACATCTTCTATATTGGTGAATGGGGACAGGTATGTACGGTTGTTGATAAGTTTGAGTTATTCAGCAAACTGCTTGGAGTTTTTCTAGCCACTTGCTGTTTCTTTCTCGATCAGGATTTCGGTTGAGAATAGTAAAACCTAGCCGACGTGTGTCGTTATGTAGTTAACTCAATTCCTTTATTGAAGTGATAAGATATGCAAATAAAGTCCGAACATAGTTGAAAAATGTGACATTTACCAGACTTTAAACAAAAGACAAACACAGTACAAGTATGACGAATTCTAATTGCAGTATGCACAACTCTTATTGTTCTTGCAATTATTGAATAATCGACTAATAATTTGTTTTTTAACAGTGTTCAGCCACGTGTGGATCTGCCATTAAAACAAGAACAGTTTACTGTATATCTAGCGACTCTCTGAGTAACCAAGTTGACGACAGTTATTGTACGGGTACTGGTCTATCGCTTCCTATAAACACCGACACCTGTGATGTACCAGTATGCTCTGTATACGCATTCATCACCGCTCAATGGAGTGCAGTAAGTACATAGTACAGCCTTGAAACGGCATACACTGTAGCCTCGTTATAACGAACTCTTTGGGAGACATACAATTAGTTTGTTATAGTGAAATGTTCACTATATTGAAGCACATACAAAATGTAATACATTGGGTTTGTTGTAAGCGGGAGACATGTTATGTGTTCATTATATCAGAAAATTCATTATAAAGGTGTTCATTATATTGAGGTTACAGTACCTTGTTATACTATCACTTCTTGGTTACATGCTCGAGTTCCATATACTGGTAAATTTCTTCTTGCTAATTGCACTGTAATGCTGTGTTATGTTTAACATTACATGTTAAAGCGGGAGGGTTACCTGCGCACGTGACGATAACAACACACGCTAAAAACGCAAAGGCTCATGGGTAGACGCTTGTTTGTAAACACACTATGGCAATCTGACACATGCGCAGGTAATGACTCCCCCGCTTTAGGTTTGAGTTTATCTTTGTTGACATGCAAGTATATTTTTTTTTGTTTCAGTGTTCCGCTACCTGTGGTTCATCTGCACGTGTTAGAGACGTCACATGTGTGAAACAAGGCAGCGGTACTACCGTGGACGACACACTCTGCACGGAACTAGGTTTATCCGCACCAAAGGCGTACGAAGACTGCACTGTACCGCAATGTGTGCAGTTTCTCATCGGTACCTGGGGAGATGTAATATGCTTCGATTTTGTTTTCAATTACATAATGAATAGAAATGAATGTTATAAATATAAACTGTCCAGACGTAGCAAAACCACTAATAAGCAAACATTTCGACCACAAGTAGCTTAGTTCGAAAGCTAACCTCCCGTGTGTTTACCATTCCAGTGTTCTGCGTCCTGTGGCCAATCCTATCGCGTACGATCTGTCACGTGCGTCATTGGGGGAACTGACACAGAAGTGTCTGCAACACTGTGTGCAAATGCTGGTTTAGTCACTCCTACCACCGTGGAGATCTGCAGTGTGTCAGAATGCGTTACATACTACGTCGGTACCTGGAGCGGGGTAAGTTGCGTCTGCCGTCGTCGACAATAATTTTATGATTAAATCACACAATTGTTTGCAAATGACATGTGTTCTCTACTGACATTTAAACGCCTGAACTTTAACCTTTTCCATTCTCTCACAGTGTTCTGCCACGTGTGGACCAGCATCTCGTGCTCGAGAAGTTTACTGCGCATCGTTCGGAACCAATGACGAAGTCGACGATAACAATTGTGTGAACTCCGCCCTCATTCGCCCAGCAACGACGGAAGCGTGCAGTGTCCCTGCCTGCGTGGTGTATGCATTTGTGACTGGCCAATGGGGAGAGGTGCGTGGATGGACAATGATTATTTATAATTATCTATTTCAAGAAATTAACTGTATTCATATGTGAACACATATGTAAACAATAATTTACTTAGATTGTATACATGTATTCAATTAGCCTGTCACTCTGTGCAATGCCCGGTATATAACCTTACTTATGCCTAGATGCGCTGCTAGTAATATCTCATTATTATACATCTGTCACCGTAGCGCCATAAGTTACAGCGTGCCGTAAATTTGTGGTATGTTACGGGGTATTTTCATCTTACTATATTAGGAAATGCGAATTCTAAATATAGAACGATTACGCTCATAAGCGTCCTCTAATAATGAAAACAAACATGGCTGCCCACAGGGCTTGACCGGACCCCATACAAAGAAGTTCGCTCAATCTGTTCTAAACTTTTTGTATTTCGGCATTCCCATGATGTATTCTTGGGAGGAAAAAATGTATATTGATAAAGATAATACGAGGATACCGAAAAGTATGCACTCAGACAGTACGGGGAGCATCGACCTCCGCTGCACGTACAGGGATAATAGGACACAACAGGCAATTAGTCAAATATTCAATCAGTCATATTTAGGTAATGGCAATGACTGTTTCTAATGCAGATTTTAGATTAATTAATACTCACTCCGTATTTACAGGATGCTGAATATTTTTTTAATAATGAAATCCCACAATGTTCAAATTATTTACAGTGTTCCGCAACGTGTGGTCAGTCCTACCATATACGATCTGTTACGTGTGTCATCGAAGGAACCGACACAGAAGTATCTGCTACACTTTGTGTTGACGCAGATTTATACATCCCTTCCACCGTGGAGCTCTGTGACGTACAACACTGCGTTACTTACTACGTTGGTGTCTGGGGCGAGGTATGAAACACAACTTTCCAAGTTTCGTTGCGATTTGTTGATGTCGCACCCTGTTTTCTTTGTTTTCTATGTAGTTCTTAATTTCATCGATTAACTTTACACGTTATTCTGTCTTTCGCAGTGCTCTGCCACATGTGGAACAGCGGCTCGTACCAGGGATGTTTACTGCACAACTCTTGGAACTGACAACCAAGTTTATGATAACAATTGCGTAAATGCCGCCCTCAATCGTCCGCAAAGTATCGAAGAGTGCAACCTTCCCGTTTGTGTGGGGTATTCATTTGTGATTGGTCAATGGGGAGAGGTGAGTTGACACATTTCATTATAATACCGTGCGCTGCTTATTGAAAAGCTGCAATCTCATCGGTCGATTGGTACCACGTGAGATAATAGGTCAATGCATTTCTCACGTTAGCATGGCTCCTTGAAACAACAAACCCTCCGTTATTTGTCCAGGAAATAAAATGTTCATTTTTATCTGGAAATTTACCTACTAGTATTTTCGCAGGTCGTTTGCTTGTTAACTTTTCGGCGTAATTGACGCGCTGACGCGTTTTTTTTTTATTAAGCTACCAATGCGCATACTTTTTAATTGAAATAACTGACTCCGTCGAACTGCCAATCATTGCGTGACAAGATGGATCGGACGTGGACTACGTCTCGTTATATCTCATTACATTATTGCACACAATGTCGTCCCGTTGTTTAAACAACAAATCCTCTACAATGCCATATTAAACGAAAATGGTTGATGGAAACGTAATACTAGTATGAGGCGAAGCCGAACACATTCTCGCTAGACCTTATCCGAATCTAATATGACGCTGTGGTGTATTCGTATAAAACACCACAATCAAAGTTTAGTTTAATTAAATTTAGTTTAATTTTGGGACATTTTATTGTAATGAATCGACTTGCGAATTGTGTGACGAGAAGCCATGACGCCATCAAAACATTTAATTCTGATAGTAGCTAGGTAAAACTCGAAATAATTGGCATCGTTGAGTTACTTATACCTTAATTATCATGTTTCTGTGTATACAATTATGAATTTGTGCCTAAGCTAATTATAATTTCCTTTTTTCTAGTGTACAACCACCTGTGGCCAAGGTACTCGCTATCGTACGATCACGTGTTTTGATTCAACCAATAGTGTAGAAGTACCAGATGCGTTATGTTCGTTGTTAACACGTCCTGTTACGTCAGAGCAGTGCGACTCACCAACTTGCTCGTCATCATTGTAAGTACTTATTGCATTTTTTCCTCGTTTAATTATTAGTGTCACGTGCCGCGTCCTTCTTGCATTTAATGCGACTTCGATGTGATATTCCATCTGACTCGTTTGTTTTTATTCATTTTTTTGTGTATATAGATTCGTATTCATTACGAGTGAATATTGTAAATGTGACTGCGATACAAACACTCAGGAGAGAACTGCACGTTGCATGATGAGATATGGCACAAGTGTAACCATAGCAAATGATACTGATTGCTATGGTAACGGTCTCACTAAACCAATCACCGTACGTTCGTGTCAACCCATTGGTTGCGTTGGAGTGTGGACATTAGGAGAATATGGACAGGTATAATTTTTTTTTAAATTAATATGACCCAATTGTAGGGAATCTTCGACATTTTTTTCATGTCTAATGTAGAATCCTGGTAAAAAAAATGTACTCTTGAAATTGCTGTACAACTTCCGATCATAATTAACCGAAAAAGTTCGGTGTAAATATGGCATATGCTGCGCATCTAACATTCAAAATTTAAATTTACAGAATAAAAAAAAAAAACACTTTTATACAGCCCACAATCACATTTATTACTCTTTTTAATTTTGGTTATATTATATTATTTATCAGTGTTCTGTCAGCTGCGGTTCGGGTATCAGGACACGTAGCCTATTTTGTCGTAGAAGCTTGAATGACGTCACGGTTGTCCCGGATACCGCGTGTATGCCTGAATTGAGACCAGAAACGACTGAAATGTGCACACTAGCCGACTGTCCCGCGTACTGGTACACGCATGATTGGTCACAGGTAAGTGTAAATATTCAAAATAAGGGGTGTGTAAATATTTCTGACGGGGTGGTTAGGTAACAATTTTTCGATTCCCTATATTTTTACCTGGTAATGACCATTTTTGTTCAGAGGCTTTGCGTGATATGTTTCCATTTCATGCAAATATTTAGTCTTATTTTTCGTCTGCATATCTTGTACAGATAACCTAGCGACCCCCCCCCCCCCCACGAAGTCATAACCCACGCCATATTGATGATTTCTGCGTGGTACAAACTCTGAATGACGCATTTGAACTTCGTACAATATTACACCTTGGATTTTATAACGTTTCCCGCCTAAATTGTGATTTTTCTTCGGTGTTGTTCGGACCAAATGGGCATAATTTCAATTCGGCAATACGTATCGATTAAAATTTTAAACAGATTGGCAACAAATTACGCAGATTTTTTTTTTTTTATGACTAATAAGTAAACGTATTATTTCCTTCTAGTGTACGGTTTCCTGTGGTTGTGGTACGCAGACAAGAGTCATTGAATGTCGTACTGACAAGGACAATCCTGACTCGAGAGTTGACGAGTGGCGTTGCCATGCCGATGAAACCCCAACCTCCCAAAAAGAATGTTACATGGACGAATGCCCAGAACGCTATGGTGAGTTTATGTTTTGTATATTCCCGTTATGAATGTTTTTGATGTATGATGTGATTTTCATGGCGGAAGATTCCTCTAAACTCTGAAGTGTTTAAACCCTTGGCACAATTTAGTTTGCTGGTAGTCACGCCGACTTACGTCACTTCCTCCAATAATTCACTTCGTTTCCTCCCCAGGCTGTGGACGCATCTACGATACACTGTCCGGTCAAATGGACTCTCCACTATATCCCGATTCGCAATATCCAAGCGAATTAGACTGTACGACCACTATTCAGCTGCCGAACAACTCCAGTACCAAGGTCCACGTGGTCGTCAATATTTTGATCTTGGATCTTGAAAACAGTGACAACTGCACGTTTGATCACTTAAAGGTAGGCATTTTTTACGTCAGATATTTGCTTTTTTAAGTATTATCGAATACCGAAATGTGTATCGAATACAAAGTAAGAATCCTAGTACCGCCAGAACCGCTGAATAGACCACGACCATAGAAGCAAATGCCACAGAGGTCTCGTTTAGGAGCGAGACAACAACGAGACGAGACTTGTTTTCGGTATCTTGAAAATTCAATTCTCAAACACTGAGTTATTTGCTGAGCCGTATTTATCGATGTTTTTTTCCCGCGTTCTTTATACAGATCACAGACCGAATAACTGGTAGTTCTGAGACGTACTGTGGAACTACCGACCAACCAATACTATTCAGATCGTCGGGTCGCACTGTAGATGTATATTTTCACACAGACAGCAGTATCGAAGGAACGGGATACGTCCTAACATGGACAACCGTACCTAATGAAACCGATGACCTACCACCACTACATTTTAGTAACCACACGGACATCACCGGAGGAAATCTTGCTGGCTCAATTGCTTGATAGTACGAAGATTAACGCAAAACAAAACAGTTGTTTTACGGTTTTAAACTAATTTACAGTTCATGTTTTTTACCTGGCATTTCTGAAGGTGTATGTAGTGAATTAAGGAATATCAATTTTACGGTTATTTCTTGTTTTTAAGTGTGATCAATCATGACATTTTAACAAATATTAATTATCTTCGCCTCTTTTTTACAAAAAATATCGAATTTTGACGCTTTTTTATATTTGTTTGTGTTTCTATAACTAAATGCGCATTTTGTGTACTGTTATGTTGATGTTTGAAATAAATCTGACGGCGTGCTATGTTCAACGTCTGAACATAATCGTTGAGGTATGTTTTAGCGAAGTGTTTGGACACCATGGAGTCCTTAATAACCTTGAGCTCAGTCGTGTACAAGTGTGGTATGGTCGCGAAACTTAAATAATGAACAATGGTTCAATGACCTGTAGAAATCGCACCTGATTCATGTACATATCATAGTAACTACATGTTGCTTTCAAACCACCGGCTTAATTCATTCATCAGAGTGTATTTAATAATGCACATCGATCTGAAGATCGTTAGTTCAAATCAAGTGTATTGCTGCTTAACAAATGCACCATTTATTAATTAATAGCGAGGAGGGTGGGGGGGGGTATTCTTCACTTTAGTCATGTGGAACAAACAAGGTCCGGAAAACGGTCCTCTCCCGGTAAATGGGTATTGTTAAGAATAAAGAAACAAGTAAACAGGTACTGTTTCCTAGTAAATTCTGAACAAAAACCACCCGCTATAGAAGTTTGGAACAAAAACCATGAGTCAACGTACTGTTATCACGATAGTATTCGTTTCGATGACAAAATGCGCGTTATTTGTATGTATACCATAAAATCTATTCACCAACATATAATATCAAACAATATTGCACAATTTTCTCATCCATATTTAAATGTAATTTTCTGCAGCTGTCCGAAATCAGAAGCTTGATTCGCATATCCAGTCTTTCAAAACTAAACTGTATTCCCCGGCGGCCCAAAATAATCCATTCCACTTGTTTTTGCATATCAAGAACTTAACGAATGGGGTGCAACACTGAACACTCCACCGCCACATTGGCCCAAGCATAGGCTTGAGGGACGCGACTTCAGATCAAACAGATATCAACGCTTTCTTTGATCGGACCCAGTACGTGGTATAAGTGTTCTGGCATCTACAGAGAGAGAGAGAGAGGGGGGTTTACATGAGGACACGTTTCATCGCCAAGCATGTATTATCGTAGGAAAACTGAAACTGTCGTATATTTCATTGAAACGCTCACGTTCGCTTATTTCCCGTATAGTCATATACATTAGGTATGTAATAGACGTGACGTAACATATTTATCTACAACAAAATCGTGGTCCGTGCCCCAAATAAACATGTTTAAATAGTAATATGCTATCTATTCTAATTCATAAAAAAAATGGGGGTGGGCAACATGGATGACTACGAGTAGTTTAAATAATTCTAAGTGTTAACCGACAAAGATACGATATTCTTGATCGCGGGTTGTTCTCACCAGGCATGTCTATGGGGGTTTTCAAGTATTTAGGAGAGCGCGGTGAAAGCCGCTGGTGAAACACTAGTTGCTATTTTCTTTACTCTACACATTCAAATTGTATGACATCATCATCACTAACAATACGCTGTTCATTTGTGCATTTTACGACACCCTGGGGACAAAATCAGTCAACGTATCCAGAGTTTGAAATTGATTTGTATTCACACGTTTTTAGATATTTACTTTAGACAAGAGCCGACCCCGAAATATGTTTTTTTTTAACTAAACAACTGTTTAATAATAAGATTGATAGTTTCCTTGTGAAGCCATCGTGATTGATGATTGTCAGTAATGAATTAGTTATTCATTTGCATAGTATTTATTGTTATCGTGAGTGGGCACCCACGTGACATTGTGAATAAGCAACTAAATATAAATTGAATCATAACGAAGATCGATAGTGTTTTTTGCGGCTGGTTGGAGAACTAGTAATTGGTTTTTACTACCCCGCTTATAATATAGAAAATTGAAAATATAACTATTTAGGAAGAGACACTCGAACCGTAAGTACTGTATTATCAATTTGGTTATCGTGTATTTCCTCTTATTCTCATGATCTTGGTGTTAATTGTACGGGCTCGAGTAAGTTTACAATTCCAAACTTGACTTGGATAAAATGTTGTAAATCTCACGAAATGAAAAAAATCATATTTGTTTTTGTCCGAAACAGATTGTATTCAGTGAGTTGCATTTAGCTCAAGGTTGAGAAATTGAGGCTAAAGTGTGTCACTCGATCTGAAACAAGGAGTATTATTATGTTAAACTCATAGTTGCTGTCGACATAGGAAGTAAAGTAAGCAAATAACACCGAATAAACGGCAAGGTAAAGACTATGTCTAATTATAGTAAATACGTACTGCGTGCGTGACTCGAACCGGCGCTCGCGTACGGCACCTAATCGCCTAGCTTCACGCCACTACACGTCTTCCCCTCGGCCACCGGGCATCCCCAAAAAAAGGATGCTTAATAACCGAGCTTATTACGTGCAGAGAACGTGAAACCCGTCCACGCGATACGCGCCACACAGCATGGCCAGAATGCGGCAAAGGCCTTCAGATCTGGCTGTAGTAGGATGGTGAAAGTAATGGTACAGCATTTTAACAGTGAATAAGTACTGAGAAATAATTTTTAAACTCATAGTTGCTGTCGACATAGGAAGTAAAGTAAGCAAATAACACCGAATAAACGGCAAGGTAAAGACTATGTCTAATTATAGTAAATACGTACTGCGTGCGTGACTCGAACCGGCGCTCGCGTACGGCACCTAATCGCCTAGCTTCACGCCACTACACGTCTTCCCCTCGGCCACCGGGCATCCCCAAAAAAAGGCACGCCCTCGCCTACAGGAGTACAATACGCGCTCATTATAACAAACATACAGGCGGACTAGACATTTTGTATAGGGTGGGGGTAACTTTTCGTCACCTGCTTCTATGGCAACGAGCCACAGTGGTCGTTGTTTGCAAACAAGCGTCTACCTATGCGTTTTAGCGTGCGTAACTTTTAAAGCGGAGGGATGGAGGAACTGAGTCCTAACCGAAGATAACAACGCGCACTTAAAACGCAACGTCCTATGGGTAGACTTCTGTTTCACATACGACTCATCCAGCTTTAAACATTACTGATAATATATATATATTTATTATTTTTTTGTTCATATAAAATCTTATAAATTTGTTTAGAAAGAATTCTCCTGAAATTGACCTCATTTATATTGTTTATCTTAAATGAACTGAAAGCTCGATCCGGAGGTGAAATAAGATTTCCTAATGGGTAGAAAAATTGAAAACTGGGTAAAGTTAACCCATTATTGAATAGTGATTGTGAAAAGACAATTTCGGTGTGCCAATCAATGAAGAAGGGGGAATTATTGAAAGAGGGTTACAAACTCAAAGATTGGTGTAAAGCAAATAATCAACTCGTCTACGAAATAAGACACGTGCAAGGCTGTTGTGGCGAGATATTAAACATATTAATGGGTATTTCTGTAGTTATTGTCTCGTCGGTTGTAAATTGTCAACGCATATGTACGCACTCCATGAAATAACAGTGGAATAGCTTCTCGTTCCGATTTGAATGAAACTCATTTGTATAAAAAATATTATCAAAGTTTAATGAGAATGGCCACATGATTTCCTTCGAGCATAACTCGTATATACTAATATTATAAATATTGCTTAGTGTGTGAAACAGATTTTGACGTCACGTGAAAACAAAGACATGCATGCAGGATCTATGGTCGCATTAAATGGGATTCAGTTCAGTGTTGCGCGCATGAGCTTAGCCGTCTCGTCACGATTTGATATGAATGACACGTGTGATTTTTTCCAATCCGAAAGTGCCACTTAATGGGGTCCGTTTTATGAGTCGCATAGTCTAAAACGTGTCTAGTTGATACATATTTCAGTCTGAAACGGGGTCCACACTGTAGCTGAACAAACTCCTAGAAAATCAACAAAAGAAGCCCTGTCAGTGAGAAGGGTGAAAGTATAAATTTTGACATTTTGGCTGTATGGAAAATGGTGTATGACCCTTACTTCCAATACATTGATAAATATCTCTGATCGTAGTGGGCCGATGGGCAGGTGATGATACTGCTGGATAGCGCAAGTCTTGCCGATGACCGACAAATCAAAACTCAGAGAGCATCGCAGCTAACACGTGCAACATACACTAAACGGTGACTGGCGCTTATGATGTGACACGCGACACGCGACACGCGACACGCGCGGCCGCCGTTTCGAACCCGTGGAACGCAAACAAGCTTGATCGCCGATAGATTGATGGTCAAATGAGCAAGGTACCACTACAACGAAGGGCGATTTTTCCTTTATGTTTCCCAGGTAGGTTATATCATTTTAATTACACGTCAGGCCACGACTCTGTTTCTCGGAAATGGGATACGTGCTATGTAACAGTGGCAACATTCATCGTTCTGTATAAATAACAGCGATACAACGCCGTAATTCGAGATTTTTACAATTTACGTAGCTTGTATTCATTTTCACGGTGGCTTTGTCGGCACCCATTTATGCCCCTTTACATATATCACCCCAAAGCTCGTAGAACACGTAGTTTGGTTGAGTTCACGGTGTATTAGTAACATTCTCTAGTTTTACGTTCAGAAGCTTATCCATGTATGCCGCCATGTTTTCTTCCCCTAAGCTCTGAAACCGCCCTCTGTGGTAGGTACACAAGGAACTCGCCTGACTCCGAAACTTTTTCAAGATTGTTCTTGATTGGCTACCCAATCTGAACATCTAACATTCTTGTTTGTTGACAGATTATTCCTGAACGTATCGAGTCTGCCTTGTATATATATTTCGGCTCAAATTCTCAGGAAAGCTGCAATTGTTGCGTTGTTAGTTTGATAGAGGAGATAAAATATTGCTCTCTAAATATTATTGTTCGTAACCGTATTTAAATAGACGGGTACTATTTATTTGGAGTGTGATCATTTTAACTTAATTTCAGTATTTGAACTTAAAACTGAAAGAATTGGTTTGATTTACACTTGACCCAATTTCATACGCTAAAATTGCCATGGAGGCTATAGGTTGCCGAAAGAAGGGAATAATATTGTAATATTGCGCCATGATTCGAGCATTTCCACCTGATTGTTTTAGTTGTGAACACAGATTTCAGCGTATAGCGCCACCCTTTTTCCAGAGATCAACTATGATGCAGGTTATAACTTAATGAACCATAAACCATGGTAGGCCAGGTTCTGCTCCACTCTTGACCTTTCACACTGTCCTGTACCTCAGATACTTCTTATTGTGTCCTTGAATTACTTCAAAAATCTGGGTTTTAAAAAATGTAAAAAAATGCATTTAGCAATTTTTGAAAAACATTAAAGTTTCTCAATATACGTCACTGTAACACAAAAAGAATGTTATTTCATGGTGCCATGGGCAATACAGCCAATAACGCTGTCATGTGATTTATGACAAACTTTCTCAAAAATTATGAGTAGGCTTCTACCTTAATCTAATCATAGCACATCAGACCAAGTATGCTGCATAAAATGGGCGTGATAGAAACTGGTCGTTAAAAATCAACACGTCGTACGTACCAACAACCTTTTCATATCGAGCATTCAGGTTAGACAGTCCCAGTCGTGGCAATTTTATTTAAAGAGCTAAGATTAAAAAAATGGTGTATACAGTTTCCAGGTTTATACAGTTTCAAATCGGGTCCTGTGTCGTTAAGTTTTGTGAATTTAAAGCCGGGACAGCCGTTTTAACTGTTGCTATCATATTATTACATACAACTTGTTTTAGAGCAAATAACAGACCCGTAGTCTTTATTAAAAAAAACAGCTAGTATCGGCATCCTTTGTGTTTGGACTTGACTTTCGTATTCAGGCGTATATTTTTGTTTTCTTTGTTAGAGATATAATTGGTAGCGATGTTAAAACTATGTCTGGTCGTCGTGGGATGTTTTCTGGTCACTGCCGGTAATTTACGATAATTTTCACAAGTTTCGCCGCCCGACCACTTTCATTTATTGAGTAACGACGACTCGTCATCCTGGCTGGCTGAAGATTAGATACGACCTGCACAATTTAGTCTTTTCGAACTTTTCGACATTCTGGTCTATCGGATACTAAATCAAATCAAATGTCACGTGTCTGGTACACAAGATTATGAATTATTGATGATTACGAAAGTCTTTTCTATTGCTTTAAATTTAAGTACAATAGTCAGAAATGTTTTTGTTTTGTTTTGTTTGACCTTCAATTTGTGTTTCATTCTTTCATGAGATCTATTTGTAATTTATAATGTATTTTAACTCATTGACAAGTGGCAAGTATGTCGTATGATTATTGTGAGGTACTGCGGGATTCACTACTTTTTTACGAAGCCCAGCGTTCTGGAGTAATGACAGATGAAACGAAAAGTAAACTGCACTGGAAGAAAGACTCTGCACTTAATGACCAAGGAGAAAATGGAGAGGATCTTACTGGAGGATATTATGACGGTATAGCATTTTTTTTAATTCAACAATATCTGTTAAGCTAGCAACATGAGAAAAAAATAACAGAAATTTGATCTGTGATTCAGATATTCTCTAAAAAGCATGCTACTATAACAACTTATATATTTTCTAAGAGCTTGGATATAGGCGAATGTGGAGTGCATATCCCGTACCAATGTTTGTTAGGGGAATGGAAACTAGTTTGGCGTAAATGACTATAAAGTTTCACTCCAAGATAATTTAAGGTAGAGATGCAGGTTCGTGGGCACTTGGGAGTGAACTTTTTTTTTCTTTGTTTTTTATTATCCAAACAGTCTTGGCTATAGACTGTTAAAATTTTGTAGAATTGTGAATAGTGGAACATACTCAAAAGACGATTTTAATATATAGATAACAGGTACAAACATTCTCTCTTTTGAATGCTTAGCAAGATTTAGCAAGGCTGTACATGAATAATAAAAAAGAAACATGGTGAAAAAAAGAAATGTCGGGATCTCCATATTATGCACTATATTTAACTTTTAACAAAACCATGATACATTTAAATTTGGAAACGTTACAGCCATTTTAATTACGAGCATTAGGAAACTTCTTACTGAGTGAATTGTAGTGCAAATTAGCAATTATTTCAGCTTCTTTTTAGCGCACATCCCAGAACTTTAAAAAAAATGCTCCTAGACGCTTTGACCTTTTGATTTGAAATTTTCACAAATGATTGACAATGTGTTTATCTTAAAAACGCCATCGGGGCATTGTTTTTGGTTGAACAGTGTTACAACAATCAGACAACTAGCCTGGGTGTTAATTTATTATAAACTTGAAGTAGTGAAATTTGGGCTGCTGCCCTGCAAAATTGACAACTGGTAGACAATTTTCAAGACGGCACTTTCTTTATAGTAAACAGATGTACCCATAAACCAATTTTGACAGGAAACATAAGCATGGTTTAGAAGCTATTTTTTAAAATCATTTTTGACCAAAAAAGCACATTTTTGTGCATATTTCAAACTACAGTGTCCATAAAAAAAATACTAACAAAATTTTAAAATTCATACAATAAGCTTTCCAAAAATATATAGTTTTGTGGACAAGGGAGGTCATCTTCTTTTCCTAATTAACTTATTGGTAAACTGCATCTCTGCTATTTTTAGAACAATTACACACAATGTTAAAGAAAAATTGCATTTGTTGACACTTTTTAAACCCCAGATTTTTAAAATAATTCGGAACAACAAAAAGTACTCCATCATTAACAATATATAATTTTTGCAGCCTATGTCACCAGGCTAGATTTTGAGCTATTGCATAATATCTATGCCATAGGAACCTATGGTAAAAGCGTTATAAGAGTGCCAAAATGGCGATTTTCCACTAAAATACAACCATCAGTTTCGCGAAAATAAGACTGGTGACCTCCAACTTTTTTTAAGTCGATATCCTTACATTGCCTTGGAGTACAGTTTATTGCAAAATGAATAAATTCTGGGTATTTTAATTTATGTGTATGCTTCTACCTTAATGGGCCGCTGTAATATACCTTAGACGCGAATGGCCGTCTAAATCTCGTTGAGAGCGAGAAAGACACGAGATTTGTTGTGCCGCTCAAATAGTATTCCATTGTGCAGGCGAGAGCGGAAAATGGAACACTAATTAAGAGGTAGAAACAAGTGCCTCTCTCACTATCAACGAGATATCGGCGGCCATGATCGAAACACAATGCCGTCAGAATATATCAGAAGACATACCCCGTATGAGACATTAAACGAAACTGATGTGCATTTACAAGCAGTGCTGATAAAATACACCAATTTAATATCAAAATACAAGTTTGTTACGGAGCTGATATGTTAGAAATTTAAAACAGACATAAAACAGTCGATCGCCAGTCGCCAAACACAAACTATGTGATTCGTATACTCTTATCACGGTCCTTTGGACGAAGTATGAACGTCTTATTTGCCATTAACTTTATTTTCAGCCGGCGACCATATCAAAGCGGGGTTACCTACGGCGTTTTCGATGACAGTCGTCGCGTGGGGTCTTCTTGAGTATCCGGATGCCTATGATGCATGTAACCAATCCAAAAACGTCAAAGATATGTTGAGATGGGGGGCAGACTATTTGATAAAAACCTACCCAGAAACTGATGTCTTCTATTACCAGGTAGGTTCCGTAGTCAAGTACGTAACTGTTTTTCATCAGTTTTAATGCTTGCTTTGAACGATCGCATTGTCGTAAAACACGGTGATTATGTTCTGAATGGTCTAGTGTTTTTAATAATGCAAGATGTGGTTAAATAGACGTTAAAAGTAGGCCCAAACGTGAATAACACACTTAAGTTTTGAAGATGCAATACGGACGAAAACATGTATTTTTTTAATATTGTTGTCCGATACGCCGTACTGTAGACCAAATTGGACAATGATTTATCATCAAACTAAACATGTTTGCAGGACACATGGCAGTATTTATTTGAGGAAATAACCGAAATCAATAATACGCATGTACATTGATTGATAATGTTCGTACCAAAACATGCGCATGCGTATTAGAGAATTTCATCGAACGAATACTCAGGTGTGAGCTACAAGAACAGTTCATATCATAGTCAAATGTATACAATAATATGTATTATTATACATCTGTCACTGTAACACT